CATCGCAATAGGAGCAGATATCCACATACCTAAACGCTGAGATAACTTCAGCATTTAGAAGGAATATTTCTCATATTCATTGGCAGTTGAAAGCTTACCATATTTACCTGCGAATTGTTGGTTTAACTTTTGAACTTTTCCATTTCAGCGAGCCATTCAAAAGATGTTTTCAAACCTAGCGAACAAAAAGTGGCCTTTGGGCTATCTCAGTTCCTTTTCCTGGCAAAAAAAAAAGTTCAAGGTGAACCGAAAGCTGCGTAAAAGGCCAAGGCTGACGGTGAAAGGCCTCCAGCGGTAGCCAGAGTGAAAGCATTTCTCTAAATATAAGAGAAAAACTAAAAATGGTTATTTTGGTAGATTTTCCAAAGAAAAAGCATTGAACATGTCATCCTAAATAAATTAATTTTGTAATTTTGATCGATGTTTGATCCCATAAAGCGCATTAAATGCACTCTAACTATTTATGGATGGTCTGGCGCCGCGAATAAAGAGAATGAGCTGCGCAGGCGACAGAAATAATTGAACATAAAATCCCACGCATTGTGCCTTTGTGTCGCTGGCTAATAATCAAAATGGACGCCGAAGCGGTTCGCTTATAAATGCTGGCGTCACGAAACTTTGCCAATGGACATAATGCGCCCGAGCCTTCCAAACTTCCCTCTGCGATGCAGAAGCCCGTTCAATTGCCAAAAAGAAAGGGCCAGCGAGTGAGGGTCCAAAACGAAAGCAAAAGAAAGTTGTGCAAAGTCCATTAAATACATAAACCTGCCACGAAATGTTCATGGAAAGCGCATAAAGAAAGTTTGTAGCCAGTGAGCCAGCCAGCCGGCCAACGGGGCGGATGGGTGATCGGGTGAATGGGTGCAAAGTGCTGGGGCTATTTATGCTCGCCATATGTGACGCAGTCGCAAAGTCCAGCCATGGGCCGTAATAACTTGATTTGCGCCCATTGTGGCGACGCAGATGCAGCAGAAAAAAACGGGGCGGGGACACGCCCCTTTCCTTTCCGGATAAAGCCGGACAACGAAGACGCCGGATTCTCGGCTGCCCCGTCAGCGTTTGGCTTATTTATGACTTCCTTTGCAGCGGAAATGTAAAAAGCATTTCGGTTATTATGCACATTTATGTCAATGTGGCAGAAATTGATGCTCGTAAAAAGTAACAACTGCAGGGAAACGCCCCCAAGGCCCAGACTTAGGACTTTGGGGCCAATACAATATGTTATTTCAATATTGCGAGTCGTAAAAGATTAAAATGTTATTAAATGGCTTAACAAAATGTGTATTAAACAGGGGCCGAGCTGAATTCATATTCGATTTGGTCTCATAAAAAATATATTCGCATATGAAGCTGTTTTGTTCATTTTTATTGATTAATACCTAAATTCACTTTGTTAAAAAAAAAAACTACAGAACAAAACATTCGGAAGTTTAGCTATTAAACCAAAATTAAACAAAAGACGCAGAAAACAAATTTTTTTTTGCCATAAATTTTATATCCCTATTTACATAAAAAAAAACAGTTTTTGGTTCAAAACAAAGCAACCAAGTGTCCAAATATGATTATTAGATTCGTAATGAAATTCCCAATCAATTGGCGTTCAAATCTAGAAACATTATTTTTTGACAATTTTTTTTAAAAAAATGTGATATCACCCCTTATAAAAAAAGCAAAAATATGGCAAAATATCAATTATTTAAAATATACCCAAAAGTGATAGGAATCATTAGCATAGGTTATTATCTGGTCAAAACAATTCGGCTTTGAGCTGGGAAACCCATTTTAACATAATTACAACGAAAAAATACTGATAAAAATGATTTAAATTCTTCCTGTAATAATGTTACAGACTTAAACAAATAATTAATTAAATACCTTCATAAAAAATGGTTCTGACAAAGAGAATATGTTAAATAATAGTTTGCTAAGAGGTGCCTCTGAAAAATCTAAGAACAAAATGTTTCAATTCAGTAAGCAGAAGAAATAAATTAACAAACTGTCCAAGTTGGGAACGATAAAAACGTCATGGTCGGCCATTAGAAGACCATTAAAAGAGCATTCAAGTCAGTCAAAGGAATTCAAATAAAAAACTCAGCTGGGTCAATTGTCTAGCGAGTCAACTGTCCAGGATGGTGGGAGGACATAAAAAAGCCGGAAATACTGTGGAGTAGAAGTCAAATGGACACATGTGCTGCTGTGAAGCTGGCAATCCTTTTGAGTGATTTCTGCGAATTAATTTCAAACTTTTCGCCAGTCCTTGGGGTTTGTTGGCGAGCTTGTGCGAGCAAAGCTCCTTAACTCGCCAAGGAGATGGGCAATAAAATCTTTCTGAGTGGCATGGTCTTTATCCCGGTTTTTTCCGACCCCCATTGACTCCTTGGCTAATTGCCGACAACGTCGAGAATTAACCACCGAGAATGGCTATTATTTATTTTAGCACCACTAAAATATTTATGCAGATGATTCCTTTCCCTCACTGAACTCCTCTTCCTGCATTTTTTTTGCCACGGCTGCGGTCGTAAATTTCCATCGCAAAGTAAAGCAATTAAAATTTGCATAAAATTCGAATATATTTGCCGGCTTGTCTAAAAACTAAACATCAACAGGGCACGGAAAAGGAGCACTCGAAACTACACACACGCACAGGGCCATGTAAAACATGACAGTCGAAGGGGGAGGGATGGAGATACAGGCATACTGTGAGTGCCTTGAATCTGGGTACGAAATGAAAAATAACGTATACGCCATGTAACACTTGGCGCATAAACTTTGAAGTGCACTCGTTCACAAAAATGGCAAAGTTTTTCGACGCACATGGCAAATAATTACAGAAAATCCAAATACAGCCCTGCCAAGTAGCAAAATAAAATTCAATATACCCGTAAACCGAATTCCATGAAATACGACTTCGACTCGACGTCATTCGATTCGGAATTTATGGTTTTATATTGAGCAGCTGGAATAGCTTGTTGTGAAATGCTTTATGAAATAATTTCGTTAGAATTCACCATTTACAGGCAGTCGAGTAAGAGGATCAGAAGTGTAGGGGGATTTTTAATTGGACTGACGATTTCCATCCATCAAATGGGGAATCTTGAAAGCCGTCCAGACATTCGCATATATTTCTGATATACTGTATGGAGGCATGTGGCAAGCCCCAAAATATCGACATATGCAAATTTAATGAAGACTTGCATTTAGGCAGATATGAACTGTGTGCTTCCTCTGGTCTCGTATCTTTTTCTAAGCCAATACTTTTTGGTCCTATTTGTTTAGGTTCTCTGTGGTGTTTTTTGTGTGCGTGTGTGTTTGCTTTTTGGTAAGATGGACACTTTTGCGCCCTTATCCCTTTTCACATCATTTGGGACCTAATCTTCTGTGATTTATTCATAGACTCCGTTTTTGCACCATTAGTTTTGCGTACATTTGCATAGCTCCACAGGGTCACGCCTTCATCCTGCGGCTGGCACTTTTGGCGCTTACCCTGCAATTAATATTCATAATTACGAGCTGCGACTGCTGATGCAACGTGTCCTTAAATGCCGCCATCATTCACACCAACACTCGCATGCGTGTGAGCAGTCATCTTGCATCCTTAAACGCAATGCACTTCATATTCATAATGGCAATTTTTTACGCTTGCGATCTTGGGCAGCATTATGCACAACAATAAATTTATTCAACACATGCCAAGTCAGCCGAGGAAGCGAAAGGAAACAAAACGAAGGGAGAGGCAAGGACACTCAGAGTGTTTTACAAAATTGTCTGAGCGGGTGTCCTGATGATTTATGCCGAGGTCTTAAATTACACACGCCGAGAGGAGAACTTGCTGATATTGCAGTTGTTGATGGGGGCCATGTAAATAATAGTGAGTATCTGGGCTGCCACTTGATATATTTAAATGCCTGCCAGAGAGCCCACCGCCTGAATGGGGATTTATGCGGCTAAAACACATTCTAGTTATCACGGGCCTAAAGCCCATTGGGCCATAAACATCGACTGCCACGCCCCTTTGACGTTGTGGCCCCCGCCCCTTGTGCGTGTTCGTGTCGATTTAATGTCAATAAATACTCGTGGACGCGGACTTATGAACAAAGCCCGCTATTGATAATTCAACTAATTAGCATTCAAGTTAATTATTTCGAATTCAAATGTTGAGCACGCGTCGGCCATTTTGTTATTGTTATGTCAGCTGCACGATTGTTTATGTGTGCGTGCCGAACCGGAAATTACGTCACTGGTGAAAGTGTTGATAAATTTAAATGGATGTTCCGCAGGTTACTGAACTCTAGCCCACAATCCCTCCATTGGCATCTACATATCCCAAATATGGTATGTCGAGCATTTATTATTTCCACCACTGAGGAGTGGAACTTTATAAGAACATGTTTTCTGTGCTGTGTGGAATTTTTCGGACACCCTCATTTAAACACGCTCGGCAGCGAAGGAAAATAAAACAAACGAATAAATGCATATTTTTGCCCATTGCGGTATTTGTATAATGCGCCAAATGAAAATCCGCCACAACGAGTGCTGTTCAACCGAAATTTATTAAAAAATTCCACAAAATCGACATATTCATGATCCGGATTATTTAAACTATTTTAATATTTGCGGTTTGGCCAAAACGTGCTGGAGCCACCGTAGCAAAATCGAATTAAGTCCGGCCCTATACCAAATGAAAATAAATTATAATCACTGAAGAAAATTAGTTCTAGATGACGGATAAATAAATGTAAATATTAATCTGTAGTTGGGATAAAATAATGTTGTCCATTACTAAAGATATAAAGTTTGTAACAATGTTTGAAATATAATTTTTAATGCATAATTCCTATTGTTATATAAAATGCGTATTTGGTGTAGTGTGTTCAAAAACTTCAGGACCATAATTTGTGGTTGGCTTCACCATAGATATTAAGCTAATTGACAGTATAGAAATTGTTATAGGTATGAAACAATGTGGACTTAGTAGTCCGTATTCATGCAGTCATAAGTAATCCTTATTGAATCAAATAAATCGATTCTCAGGAAAAGAAACACTTTTATAAAAACACGAAATAAAAACTACCAATATTAACCCATAATGACGGACTTTAGCATTGCCAAGTTTAGTAACTATCAGGAGTATTTGCTCTCCTTTACCACCGTCGAGGACTTTCGGTACTTGCCGTTCCACAAAACAGTCACTACTCTCACGAAACTCGGCTATCGGGAGCACCGCACTTTCTATGAGGAGGATGAGTTCCTGAACGTAAAGAAGCAGGTGGAACAGCTCCTGAATCCCACAGTTTCTGCCCAGATATACTACAGTCAGTACTTCAAGGGAACCGATCCTGCTCTATGGGCTTTGGCCGAACGCGAACATGGCAATGTCCAGCAGGAGATATCGGTAAGTCATTAGCTAATATTAAATTATAAGATTATAATTATTCCCAATTTGCAGACTATTATCTTTCTTGAAATTAGCGGTAGAAGTGGCTTCTCCAAGTCCGGCTATATCGACTTTGAGGCCAGCCTGCGTAACTATAGATTCAAGGGACCAAACGCCGTCGACTGGCGTGCAGTTTTCGAGGAGCGAAAGATGCTGAAACCCCAGCCGAGCGACATCGTTTTCTATGACTGGAAAACCAGGAAAATTTTTGCCAATGACAACGACAACTATACAGTGGTAGCTCATCCGGAGCATGGCCTCATGTTTGCCCACAAAGGCGATCACAAGAACATCCCGGTGACCACCAAAAAGAATCCGTTTTCTTCCAACGTAAGGCGTTCCATGATCAAGTCTGGTCTGTATGGTTTTATAATATTGTATGACCATCATGTACGGAAGAAGACCTAACTTATTTTTGATTAGAGTTCAAACTTGACTTTACTAAAATGCAAATTCTGGGATATAGAATGAATAATACGAATTTTTTATCCCAACTAATAACTGTCCTTCGTTTCATATTAATGTCATCTGATAAAAGCTAATGCTTGCAACGCTCGAGCAAGCAAAATTCCACTTAAGTTGTCAACAATCTGCTGCCTACACACATACAGTCACCCCCAAACTCACACACAGACACTCTGTTGGACACGCACGCCCGCCTTCGCACATCCATCCACACCTTAAATACCCAAATCAAAAAATAAATGGTAAACACTGGACGATCCCAACCCCCGAGACCACATGGCCCCATGTCCAGGGCGAGACTCTATCGAAAAATGCTGATGATATGATATTTAGAACATTTTTTCTCAGCCGCACAGCCTGGGATATGTGTTCCTGGGGATTGGGGTCTCAAAATTCCTGCAGAGCATGGCAAATATTTATTTAATGCTCCGGAGTGGACAGCCGATAGCCAGACATGCAAACCGAGGGGTTGGACATGCTACTTGTTTGCTTTCTGGGGGTGGGCCTAGTCTTTGAGTCTGGCCCATTGTTTCGGTCTTGGCAACTTTGTTGCTGCCATTGCTGCTTAGTTAATTTCTGGTCATCAACTGCAGAGCGGCTTTTGCTTGGCACCCAGACAATGGGGCATCACCGGAAGAAATTGTAAGAAGGTATACATTTAGAAATACCTTAAAAAAGTAAAAAAAAGAAAGCCCGATCATGTTTTATAGATAACTTAAAAATCAAGAATTTCCAATACCGATACTGAATATTTTTGTTATATTTTATTTATCACTACATTTATTTATAGAACGGACATTCAACCAATATATATATATTTTTTGTGTGTGCTGACTAAGCCCGGAGCCTTGGAAGAGCTCCAAAAGTGCCAGCAAACAACAAAGGGGGCGTTCTGGGGGCGTGGACAGTCTATTGTGAAAGTGTGTGTCTAGTTTTAAGTGCTTCCAGCGTGTATAAATCACATTGTTGAGCATTTTTACCGATTGCTAAGGCTGAGGTGCAGGTAATGTCTGCGCATAAAGGTATGCAATAAAATATTTTGTTGCCGCCAGACGTTTTAAGTGGATTTTGTAGACCACAAAATGGCTTAATAGGCTGATGGGGATGAGAGGAGATGAGCGAGGAAGGGGACCCAAAACTTTGGGTTTCATTAGCATTAACGGGCGGTTGGCTGGTCGGCCGGGTTGTCAACACGCCCACATCTGAGAGCCGAGAAACCCACGACCAGAAACAATATTTATGTGCAGGTTAACACGTGAGTACGAAGCGGCGTGTGTGTTTGGGTCTGTTTGCTCACAAACCTGATTACAAAACTCATAAAGTCGCCATGAAATTCAAACAATGCGTTACGTGCATCGAATACCGAGAGCCGCACAAAGGACACAAGACGAGAGGCCATCCCACACCCACACTCACACAATCACGTCCACAGGACCCGTGCATAAACAACGCTTTCGTTTGACCCAAGGAGTTGAAGGCGGATGTGTGTGTGTGTGTGTGTGCGAGGGCCTGTTTATTACATTTTGATTATTGCAATCTCGTTTCCCAGGACCCGTGAACACATCAAAGGATCTCAAACTGATTTACAGTTGCCGAAAGTCGGCGGAAAAAACAAATGGAAACATCGCCGGTGCTGAAAAAATCAAATCAGCAAGTGGCGCCCAACTTTCGGCAACTTTAAAAGCATTTTAACTGCCGTCGCAAACTTGGAATACAAATATAAATATTTATGCGAGTGGCCCGCAAAGCGATTTGTCAAAGGCGGTTCTTACTTGTGGATTATGAATACTTTGCTTGAATTTAGCTGACAGCAGAAAATTATTACACAATGATTAATATTTATTTGCCCGGGCCACTGAGCAGCGGCTCCCGTTTCTCCGTTCTCCATTCTCCGTTCCCGGTGGAATTTCAGGGCCCGAGTCCAAGAAAGTGGCCACAACAAGTGACAATGTGCTGAATATAAACATTTTCTCCTCGTTCCCGCCTCCTTGGGAGCCGCTCAAAAAGGCATTTAATTCAGATTTATGCCCTGCACGGCATTGTGACAGGACGAAAGCAAACACAAGCCAGCGTGTCCTGCGAAAATTATGATATTTGCCATCCTCCGAGGCGCTCGCCGCTCGGCCTGTTTGCTTTGCCTGATAAGCTATCGAACAATAAAATAGCCTCGCCCCGGCTTTTCGAATTGGGGTTCGAAGTTTGCGGCGAATGCCCAGGCAAATAAGGATATGCGCAAATAAAATGGCAATAAATCAAAACGATTGACGATCTCATGATGCGGCTGGCCTCAGCGATTAAGGCCTCAGTGCCGAGATTTTCGCCCATATAAATCGACTTGGGGTCGAAAAGTGATTTTGATTGTTATTTGTTTGCCGGCATCTTAGTTAGCTGCCCGCCTGTCGACTCGCGACTTGACAAGCAATTTATGGCGATATATTATACAAGTAGCTGGGATCCATAATTTATGCCCGGCTGCAGGAGAATCGGGAATCACTGCAGCGGAAGTGCAAAACGCAGAGTTGGAATTCGGAGTCGGAGTTGGAAGCTGCCTGGCTGCCACTGTCAATAAGGAAACTTCATTATAAATTACCCAACTGACAGTTGCAGGCAGACGCCGGAGAATAATAATAATGGCAGCCGTGGCGAGGCGAAAGTTAAAAGCCAAGGAAAACCCCTCGTCAGCTGTAAGCTCTTACCCACCCCGGAGATTGTTTCAATCTGCTTAAGCGACCAAGTCGAGGTTGCAATCGAAGGCCCTAGCTTTTTGGCCCGAAGGCAATCAGCCGTGCAGCCAGATCTCCTCAGATTCCCCTTTCCGCCCACCGATTGTTGTGTTTAAAATTGCTGAATAATTGTGCGGAAGTTGGTCGCTGTTGCATTCTGGAATGGAAAAAAATGGAGAAGGGGAGTAGTCCATGAATCACATAAAAAGCAAATGTCGCGTCGTTAGGTTAAAAGCTTTATGCAAATTCTCCTTTGCTTCTTATCATATTCCCTTTGCTGCGCTGCAAGAGGAATGGAAATTGTATTGAACTGGGGGACGAGATTGCATTGTGGGGGTGGTTTATATATATGTACGTTTGAATTCATTTATATATAGACCCTATATCGAGGGGTTGCCTGGGGGGCGGACATGGATGTGCAACTAAGCTGAAGTGTCTGCAATTAGGTGCAATTGTTTGAGAGGAAGTGTCATTCAGCTAAGCATTTGAACACGCAGGGCACTTATTAACCCTCCTTAGGAGTATTATGATTACTCCAGCAACAACCCATCCGAAAGCTTCTTATTGGATCGGCAAGATAAGTGTGGCGAATTAATTAATTTTAGTCGGACTACTGCATGTGCTCTTGCATGAAATGAGCAGACTTGCACGGAGGAAAAAAAGTAATTGAATTTGCGTAGTAAAGGAAAATTTATTAAAATTAATATTATTTTAAAAATAAAAATATGAACAAATTACTACTTTTTGGGACCATTTGATAAAAATAAAACTAACTAATTTAACTTTTTATTAATAACTCTTTTCAAATAAATGCAAAATAAAATTCTAAAATGTTTAATAGTTTATTTTATTTCAAGAAACAACCAATAATACCATTTTTAAAATGAAATTAATTACTTTTAAGCCTATTATTTTAAATTTCAAGTGCTTGTCTAATAGCTTTTATAGGAATATTTTTTTCAGTGCACCTCAGCCTTAGCTTTCAATTGCTTGCCCCGACTGCCATTGTTTGGTGAACGGACTTAAATTGAATTATTGTTTAAACACATCGAGGACTAGCCCTCATAATCTGAGACAAGCAGCAGCTGATTGCCCTTAGGGCAGGGGTACAATTAAACTGCCTTGTCCGCACATTACCGCTCACGTTTTATGGCTGCCGTTTTAAAAATATTGAAAAAAGCGGCGGAGGCACGAAATTGAAATGCTCGCCAACAGGCGCAGCTTTATTGGCACCCGTCGACCGGGAGTCGTGGAGGACCGTGGGGCATTATCCTGCAGATGGCTGCGGTCACTGGACATTAGGCGCTGGAGGAGGACAACCGGTGTCCGTGGACAAGGCCGGGATCATGGCAGCACGGATACGGGCATTGTACATGAGATGGCGTCATTAAATACACATTACCCTGCCGGCGGAGGAGGAAAGTCCGGCGATAAAGGCACAACAACCGCCGAGCAACGCAACGCAACAGTCGGCCAGCGGGAGAATGGCTATTAAAAAGCAGCCCGGCCCGAAGATAGACATGGTCGGCTACAGTGGCAGACATAACAAATTACACCATTTCGACAGGCGGCTCTGAACAGAAGCACAGTGCGGCCAAATGGGCTTTTTTCTAGCTCTATTTTTTTTTTGGTGTTTTTTGCCGGAGAGTGGAAAACATTTTAAAACAGTTTGAATTTTATGCTCTGAAATTATAAATATATTTTAAATATTAATTTTTATTCATGAAATATTTATATGTGCTTCATGTTTCATATAAACAATATTCCTAGTTGGAAAACTTAATAAAAATGCATATATTTACTAAATTATACTATAAAATGTATATTAAACAGTGTAATATATATTTTTCTTTTCTACAAATTAAATCAAACAAAGTTAAGTAATGCATACTATTAATGCAGATAAATCTATAATTTTCTTATAAAGTTCTCATAATTACTTATTGTTTTATTTAAATCTCTCCTTAGAGTCTTTTGGTATTCTCAAATTATTTTTATATATTTATCTTTTATCGCCAGCACTGGACCAGCATTATGGCCGGTGGTTCGATGGTCGGTGTTCAGTTTCAATTGTGCCGGCAAACGTGACTCCAAATTGGCTGCCGGCGAATAATTCATACGAAACACTTTCGCACCGTGCGCCTTGCCATTAGCATCGTACTCGTATCCCCAGCCACTGGGCGGTCGCCCAGCCACCCAAAAAGCCACCATCCACCCCCAAAACACCCACTTTGAACCACACGGAACTCCATGCCCATGGCCCATGTAACCCCACGATTGCATTTACAGCAAATTATTTATGGCTGCGACAGACACGGAACAGGAAGCGAGTATGCGCTGCCAACTTCACGTCCATCAATATTTTATGAAACCCTGTCTGCAGGACGCTCCGCGATGCTCGCAGCCGCAGGAATGGATAGGAGTGGATAGGAATGGTTCGAAATGGGTTGGATGGTGGGTCCTTGGAGCAGGACGAGGGTATCTGCTTACATGGATGCCTCCTGCCGGCTGCCTGGCTGTCGATATCCGGTTAGATGAGTATCTAAATTGCCTTTACTGTTGATGAATTAGCGCCGGCTGCCTGCCGTTCCCATTTGAGCGGAATGGGCGGCAGTGCAAGTGCCTGCGCGGCGCAGATAAGCTTTCTCCGATGGGTGCAAATTTCAATTTGTTCTGAATGATTTTGCGCTCATCAAATAGGCCGGCAATTTAGGAAGACAGCAACACGACCTTGCTGCAAAGAAACCGAACCGAGGCGGAAGCAAAAAGGTGGGGCAATCGATCAAAAGGAGATGGAAATGCAGGCGTATATATTTGGTATAATTACACCATTAACGCACAAATGAAAATACAAAAGGGTATAGTTTGTGCTAAAAGGAGAAAATAATATTTAAAGTATTATATTTAATTTTGAAGTACATAAGCTTTAAATAAATATTGTTTGGAGTTGATATGTTTTTTAGAAAATTCTAAAGTAACGTATTTAATATTTTGTTACAATATAAGGGCATTTACAAAGATATATTTTATGTTATTTCTTCAAAACATTTTCCCCACTTCAATAAAAAGGTATCAGATTATTTCCATGAGTTTAACATCATTTACTGCTGCTGTACTTTTAAATTACCAGTTTGAGGTCCATTATGTTTCTCTCCCGAAAGGAAATCGTATCGCTATTGCTCCTGCTAACGGCGGTTAGTTGCACCTGAGTAAAAACGACTGACCTTGTCCCCCTCTTGAATTCCCGCAGATCATTAGTGTGCTGAACGCGTCGGTCTTTGCGAATATCCTGCCCCTCCACGTCAGTTATGAGCAGCTGGCCCACCAGGTTGTCTGCGTGGGAACCGCCTACATTTGCCTGATTTACGCCTTCAGCACCTGGCTCTACCACTCGAATTATTCCAGGACCCGTTTCCACATGCGAATGGTGGTGGGTGGTTCAATTCCGATGGGGAGAGTCTCTGCCAAGTGTTTAAATATATCTATTTCTTTCAGCTGGTGACCATGATTGTGTTTACGGTGTTGTTCAACTGCATAACCACCTATCTGTTCTATAAGAAAGTGTCTTTTGCCAGGCTGGAGGAATCGATGAATCTGTTTTTGCTATTCAGCAAATTTTCGGTCGCCTCAAAGTCGGTCAGCTTGGGCATATCGGTCGTCACCGTTTTGCTGCTTTTCCTGATCATGGTGGTGGTCATTGTGACGATGGTGCAGTCAAGGAGAAGACACAATCGCGAGGATAAACATGGGAGTATCGAGTCGCAGGAACTGAAAAAGTAGTCACCCAAGCGGGAGTGTGCATTAAGTTTGGTTTTCATGCAACGCCAAATATTTCATGTCGCTGCAATGTGGCGCCGCAGTTGCAATAATATAAATATTATACTCCCACGTCGTTTGGCACAGACAGACACGAACTGCCGCTCACCTCCTTTATGTTTTCGCCCCTGACACACAGATTCTGTCTGTGTGCTTTCTTCGCAGGTGATATAAAAAATATATAAAAGGGCCTCTGTCTTTGCTTTCACAGGTCGCAGGATGTATGCGCTTACTGCAAGGAAAACATAGGATTTAAGACAAAATATATTTTGTATTTTATATATTGAAAAATAATAATTTAAATAATATTTTTGGCTTAACTATATGTATTTTTTAAAGAAAGAAAAAGCATATGTTCCTCATTTTACTTTAAGAGTAATGGTCATAAAAACGTGAACATTTCTTTGCCAGAGAGTATGGAAAATGCTATCAGACGGATGCTGTTGATGTGTGAGTGCTGGGGCACCTTCAGAGCCGAAAAAAGGAAAAATCCATCTGGGATAAGTCGGAGCAGTGGAACTCATAAGGAAGACAAGCAGCCTCTTCACAGCGGCGTGTGTACTATTGCATTTTGCATAATGAAACCGGCAGACAGTGCAATTTTCAGCTGCAGACAAACGAAGTTAAACAACAAACTTAAAGGCTTGCCGGGCGTAAAAGTTTAAGTTGGCTTTTCAACTCAAGGAGGTTGGTATCCTGGGGAAGGGATGGTTGTTAGGGGGCCGCGGAGTAGCCTAATTACGCTCCAATGGCCGCCCATCAAAAGTGACAGTTGGCAAGGCAGGGGCTTACAATAAAATTTCCAGTTAAGTTATTGCCGCGCCGCTGCCAAAAGCAACGCAGGCTACTCAGTTAAAAGTAATTCCAAATTTAATTGCGCACAATTTAGAATGGCGAAATGTTGGCGTGCGTTTAATTAACTGAAAAATAACATAAAAAGCAAAGCGAAAACGAAAACAAAGCCGAATGACAGCCGCGAGTGGCGCCAGTGGAAATGCTTAATGTTAAATGCCAACTAATTAAATTTCGGGCATGCCAGCGGGAGAAGTCCACTGAAGTTGAACTGCTGAATTTATTGTTGCATTTAATGGCCAGCGCAGGCGGCTTCGGTTGTCCCACCCCTTTACCACTTTTTATTGCGTATACGCAGCGAAGTCGCCACCGCGTATACGCAGTGTATTACGGCCCTTCGACCCAGCCCATGCAAATGACCCAGCCAAAGGATCCGCTTTGTGGACAGGAATATAGGATGCCAAATGACGCAGAACCACAGGCATTGCGATTGTAATTCCGATTGGGCAAACGTCAGTTTCGCTGCGGTCCGTCGCCAAATGAAGCCAATAAAACGGCCTTGTTCGCACGCAAACGTGCGAAAGTGATTCATGTAAACTGATAAAAATTTAATCATATTTCGCGTATTAACACGTAATTATTAATGCCTGATAAATGTCGGCAGTTGGTAAAATGTGAAAAAGTCGCAATTAATATGCATTATTTCCCCCTAGTTGTCAATTCACTGGCCAAATTAAATGTGGCACGACAGGTCCAGAGTTTTCAGAAACCATTCAGTGCCTCTAGCCATCCGGTTCTTGAAATCACATATAAAGAATTTATTTTTAATATTTTACCGCACAACACTCTCACTTATAGTTAATCCGTACGGAATATTTTACATAGCCACGCAATCATCACTTATTTAATACTGTTCAAGTGTGTAATTCCGTTGTGAGGCTTCACTTTTATTATTATTATCATTGTTATGTGCACTGCGAACGCTTGTCCGTGGGTTTATTTGGTTCGGCTGGCGCTTTATTTTCTTTTAATTATGTACTCCGATCACAAAAGTGGGTCAATTAACAAGCCGCCGTATTGGGTCCCCGTCGAATCGATGTCGAAAAATCGGGATTAAACAATGCCGCAGACGTGCTGCCAGGACAATGCAAACAATTGTCAGAATTTAAATGCAGCGGCAGTGGACCGCAAAGTTTCCACTCGCTATCCGGTTCAATGTTCGCATAAATTATGCCGCCATATGTCAGACATCTGGCGAATGAACGCTCGGGCTCCCAGTTTCGATTTTCCCCCGTTTTTTCGTAGCTGTCAGGTCGCCATTTTACGAGCTTTGGACAGGCGGCAACAGCTTTCGTCTAATTGCGACTGGCAGTGTGCCAAATGTAGGGCTACATTTAATACTAGTCACTAAATGCTTTTTACAACCAACCAAATCAGGCATTAACTGCACTGCGTTGGAAATGTGTCATCAATTCCATACCATCCAGTGTCAATCACTGAAAATGTCTTGTCACTTGCCTTTTTCTCTCGGTGACCAAGGGGAAAAAAATTTAAATTAAAATTAAACTATGTCTAACATATATAGAGAAAGATATATACAAATCTTATTTATTGGTAACAAAAATCCCAGTAGGCTTATTAACGCTTCCTGCTTGAAAAGGTTTCTTAAAAAGCACTGGTTAATAGAACTATCCGAAATATAACGTAAAATAAGAAAATAAAACCTATAAATATAAGTAACCACTTAATTTTCTGTCAAGCTCAATTAGGCATTGCCTGTTTAGAATTTGGTCCGAAACTTGTATTTTCTTGTCCAAGTGGCAGCATTTATTTTTTATTTCCGAAAAATTTGAAGAGGTTACCTCGAATCAACTATATTAATCTGGACGGTTATGCTTGAGAAATGAACCACAGAGAAGAGGAACCAGGTATGAAAGATTGGTAAACTGAATTTAATACAATCGACATATATTGGCTTTTAGATGTGGCGGAGCTGATTCGAAGGGAACCCGAATTGGATTTTGCTGATGATTTCGCGCAGCTGGAGATTAGGCTCCAGGCTCTAGTTGATTTGGGCCTCGGAGACACGGAAGTTGGTTCGTGGCGTCGTCGCCATCGCAGGATCAGACACCTGGCACCGTATAAGTGTAATGAGTGCCACGAGTATGTGCGTTGTGCCGTGATTACCATCTGTGGTCACCTCTTCTGCTGGGCCTGCTTGTGGCCCAAAGTGAGTGGCGATAAGGGTCCGAGGTGCCCGAGCTGTGGGCAACGCTTGATCCTGCACGAGGACATCATGCCGTTCCACGCCGAGGGGCCCAATGCCAAGCCAGATGATAACGAAATCCTGGCCCAGCCCGATTCGGTGCCCCGACCCACGGGCCTGTACCTCAGCGAATCGAAGGTTCCCGGCTGGTTTTTGGTCAACGATCCGAGGGAGGCGCGCGAATGGATATTCAAAGAGTCGACCAGGGAGAGGGATTTTTATTCCGCGGTGCGGTCTTTGCCTGTGAAACATTCCTGGATCGGAACTCAACTGCAATACCTCAGGTGGTTCCAACTGGGCTGCGCCATCCTTATGATCCTGATGTGGTACATCTCCTCGTTGAGCACAGAGGTAAATGTGCTATTTATTTCAATTTACTTCGTTATTAATGGGTGGACGTGTTTCTTTTAAATCAATGCTTGGCTAGAGTTGACAATACCGCAATAAATTTCTGTAAATACAGGCGTTTTAAAACCTAATTTTATTACATTTATTGTTCTCCTCTATACCATTTTTCTTATAATTCCAGGTAGCTAAAGAAACGAAGAGCTAGAAATATTTTAAATCTGCGCCTCTTAACCCAAATGTGGATTTCTTCTGTGAAGATTTTTCTGTGTTAATTCGTGTTAGTATTAAAACCGAAATCAAGACAACTTGCAGCCAAGAGTTTTGTTTAGAACCGGCTCTTGCAACTTGGAGGAAACACAGAAATATTTTATGAACTCTCCGGCCAAGTCAAAGTTGTTGCATGCAACATCGCAAAGTCCCGGAGCGTCGTGGCCAGCTGAAACAATAAATTCCAGGGGCAGTTAGGAAGCCAGACAAAGTCGGCCCGAGAAAGTAAGCTGCTTTAAAGTCGCAGGCTTAAAGTGCTCATACCTGAGGAGTCAACCGAGCACTCCGGCTAATGAACCATGGTCAACCGAATATTCCGGGAATTGGGTTAGCCCAATTAAGTTGTTATACGCCTTTTGTCGGGACGAACACTCGATGACAGCTCTATCGGGGGCATGGGAATGGGAATTGCGTGCTGGCCTTGGTGGCTTGGCTCTGAGCAATATTTATCATTAATTAAGCGAGTGCCGAGAAATCCGTAAGGATATATATCCGCAAGCCAAGCGTCAGAAGTTAATGCGACAGCTACGTGGAGAAAGCGACACGGACATCGAAAGGAAGCGGATGCAGATGCATCCTGTGATTCAGCTTTATTATGGCAGCTTAAATGGCATTTGCCAGCAGCCTGCATGTGTGAGTGTGTGGAAAATGGAGAATGGAAAATCCTTTCTCCGCCTCTGCGAGGACATGACAATGTCCGCTGCAGCATCACAGAAAATTGATGCGTTTTAAATTGCATTAAATTCCATGGAACGTAATCCCAGCCACTCGCACACAGACACGCTCCCGAAAGCCAGCGCTGTGTGCAAATTAAATTAATTTTGTTTGCCTTGTTCTCGGGGCGTCTGGCGTTATGACGCTAGCTCCGAGTTACGTGTATCGATTGCCGGCTTTTAGCCAACTTTCAGCTTTAGTTTCTCTGCCATTCTGGCCAATTTGAGCGACGTCTGCGATCGGCGTCTGCAGCCTGAGCAAATATTTAGCAGTAATTAATTTAAATCAGCAATGGCTGCAGGAAATGCCAAAAGCCAGCGGCTCCTGCTTTTTGCCTCCAGCCTTCAGCCTCTGGTGGCATCATTAAAATCTTCCGCCTGCTGAACAACAAAGCGCTAGTAAATTGCTCGTCACGAGTGCTACTTTGTTCCCTTTCGTCTTTCTGCCAAATATCACCGAGCTTGGGCAGACATTTCAACTTAAATTATGCCGCCATGTAACACATGACGTATACATAATTACGGAAGCCAACGGTCGAACTAGTGCAGTCTGTGGGGCTAGATTCTAGCGAAATTTAGCTATTTATTTTTGCACCCTTGCTGAGGGTATAAGAAGTCTCGTCAGAAGTTTGTAGCGTAGGGAAGAAGACCTTTTTTAAAAAGTATTTAAAAATCGTAAATATTTTAATATATTTTGTAATAGTTGACTAGGACATAACGTTCTTCAATTGGCATTCCGGTCGGCTGGTCATAGCTGCCGTAATTTTCATTTCAATTACAGTATCCGCTGGCTTGACATTTAAAAAGAGCGGCGCACACGAAAAGCGTCATTTAGGGACCTCCACAGACACATCCCCTATCTACCACATGCACATCCCATCCACTGCCAGGCTGCAGCGTTGAATGTGGCTTTTATTCATTGCATAATTACTGTTGTGTTTGCACTGTGGCAAGCAGCAGTCGGCCCCGGGGGCAAAGGTTAGTGCAACCAGCAGTGATTATGAGTAATTGTCAAGGTTAGTTGGGAATCTCGTTAGCCGGAGGGGCAGCCATTGCATGTAGATGGTGTAAGTTGGTGGCTTGCACTCTAAATATTATGCCATTTACTACAGTTGTTAATAAAAGAAAGGTAAGATGGAAAAGTGAAATTGTTATTGGTTTATAAAAATTAAGAATATATTTTTAATGAATTTCTTATGCATTAACCTAGGTAAGTTTTAACTCCTTGTTCCATTGACCAACGATACAAGCTGAAGAGGTGCTGAACTGTTGGAGTGCAACTACTTCCAAGTAGCCATAAATAAATGCTCTTCACAATAACAACCCCCTGGCAGACACAATGCATAATGGTGGTAGTGGCAGGCCAGACAAAACCCCCCTTAAAACCTCCCCCCCCCCCTCGCTTACATTTGTGCAAATAGCATGCACTATGCACGTTTCCGTTTCCGCTCTTTCGGGCTTACAGGCGTTGCAATTGTCGCTTGTTGCAACGACAGCCTCCGCCATTTTGTCTCTCTCCCTGTGTGGGTGTGTTTCTATGTCTGTGTGGGTGTGCCACAGTCTGGCGCACATGGCGCATACTTTATGCATAACAAATGGCTGCTTAGTATATTGTTTAATTTATCAAGCATGAATTATTTATGTCGATCTGCGTGTCGTCCAATGATATAAAGTGCAATGCAAAACTTGAACTTTACTGAGGGGGAGTTTCTTGTGCACTGCAAAGTGCTAAATAAGGAGGTTTTGAAAGGGAAAATAAATTTACTGGTCTCTTTAATTGAGCCCACAAATGTAAACGGATATCACAGAAAGAGCAACACGTCTCTTTGTTACATTATTTGTATTCCATAATATCTACACTATTTTTGCATTGTGTATCCAATATACTACATCTTGTAGGCCTGTCGAACAAATCAAATTTATGTGTTACAAAATACAGAGGCTTGCATTCCCAGTGGTACTTTGTATTTTCCGTTCAGGTAAACTTCACTTGGGCAATAAAATATTGCATTGTTGTGGCCGCCAGGACCAACTTATTTCAACTTGTTGAAATGAAATTTTCAATTGAACTCGGTGCGTTGTGCTGGTGTCAAGAGCTCTAATTTAGATTTATTTCGGTTGATTAATTTGCATTCGAGTATGTGCGAGTGCGAGTGTGCAAATTTGGCAGTTGATAATTGCAGGCAAAGCTCAAGCGGCCAAAAGTTTCAGGCACTTTTGAAATAAATGGGAAATGGCTTTCCCAGATATTGTGTGAACACAATGGCACGTCTTCGGCAGAGACACAAAATGGGAGCTGGGGAACACAAAAGAAATGCACGAGACATTGTGCTGAGTTCCATCGCGTCGAGTTGAGGTTGGGGGCTCAGGCTCATGTTCAGTCGGGGAGTATCATTCAAACGTGCCCTCTCCGAGCTCACTTTAAGCCGTATTGTGTATAGATAACGTGTCTATTCAGACGAGAACTGATACGGGGCCAAAACACAGAATGCGGCAGCCGGGAGCGGCAAGCTTGACTTCCTTGTGGCTTGAGTAACAAGTTGGGCATAATGCGGAAGCTAAAAACTGTTGCATACTTTTATGCGCTGCCACAAGCCATCGGCATCAGGACCTCAGAAATGCCATCCACCCACCAGCTCCTGACTGCAGTTTCACCCCCTTTCTGCCCAAAAGGACGACGCTTATCACCGCAAAAGTTTTTACCACTTTAGAGTCGGTGTCTGCCGCCGAGAGACATTTTGCCGTCGAGCTGTCAGCGCTCGAACTTTGCAGCCGGAGCGGGACAGGAGCTTTAAAAACTAACCAGAATATTGCATATAGAGCAGACAGACCAACAATTGCTGGACAGTCCCAACTTTTAATTGCTATTAACACTAATTACAACTGTCACATACATGTGGTGTATCAAAGGGCGAAGAAGAATCAAAGAGTCATGTTCAATATCCTACACAAATTAAATTATGATATGCATTTACAATCTTTTGTCAGTTAAAATATTGTTATATTTTTAGTGGGTATAAGAGAATTTCAGCTTCATTAGAGATAGGAAAATTACGGAAAATCTAACTGATTTTAATTTGATTACTTTGCAGCTGTTTTACATAACTTTTAGTTCTACGAAACTTAATTGAGCTCCGATTAGTGGCCATATTGCCGAAATCAGTGGAGCAAGAGCCCTGCGATCTCCCCTAATTTTCAAGGAAACTTTTACATTTTTTTTATCGAGTCCTGCAATTGAACAGCCAGTGAATGGAAAATGTAAAATCTGCCGCGGGGCACTCGGCGCGGCCATTTAACTTTGAATCCACCAAAATGCTTTCGACATCGCCGCCTGTCGATTTCAATGAGAAAGGGAAAATTGTTTTAGCAAGCAGACAAAAAAAATGAATCTCGCGAGCCAAAAGCAGGCAAATAACAAAAAAGGAAAATCCAGACAGTCTGTCTGCGGCATCCCATCGTCCTTTATTCGTTTCACATTTTAAGCAAATGAATACTGGATCCCCAGAGACTGCGAACGTCGCGACTTGCTGAAATGTTATAAATCTACGCGTAATTGTGTAAGGATTCCCACTCGTTAGCCCCTTTTTTCGAATAAATTGGATTATAATTTATTTTAATTGGCAAAAGCCAAATGCAGGCATAAAACAAACAAACCCCAAGGCGACCCGAATGAAAATTAGCCACAAAATTACGCAGTCTGATGCCGCTTTCATTAGTCTAATTGTGACTCTTGGGCGGGCGTGCGTACATTCCGGCCCATCTCAGTGATTAGGCCTGGCCTTTACCTTTTGGCCAGAAGTCGGCACGAAACCATGCGTGACAGTGTTAAACTGAGAGCCGGAATCCGAATCCTCAGTTTGGGCTCCATATGTGCGGCTTTTAATTAGAGCCAAGCCATGCTAGTCCCACCTTTCGACCTTTCGCCCCGCATATTAACATATGAACGGCAACTAAAATGTCAGCGGCCAGACTGCAAAGCCAGGATACCAATGTCCAAGGATACTCGTGGCCCACCGAAATCCTGGCCACAATTAAGCAACTCAGCCAGGTGTTTTAGGTGGAGGGGTTCTGAGTCTCCATTGTGGTGGCACTTTCAGCCAAAACCCGCTCCGCTTAACCCATCCAAGAAGACAAACAGCCCTGGCAGCCAG